CTGTATCATTTGACAGGCATGCAGTATTATCCCAATAGGAGTTTAAGATGATAAAACAACAACTGAGAAAGAAAGCAGATTGAAATGGTTATATCATCATTAAACTTAGAGCACCCTCGGCTGTCACAGTGTTATTTGTGCTTTGCTACAAGACTCAAATAAACAATTTTGAAAGTAAATGAATAAAAATTGCACTCTAAGTTAGAGAGGTGTTCATGACCCCAGATGTTATGGATGTAGAAGCTTTCACTAGTTGTCTTAAAATGAGGTGTGTGTGCGTGCAGTACAGACTTAATATTTTTAAAGCCGCCTTCCTTTCCCTTCTGCGTAACTTCAGAGCTCATAAAATATGTTTTGTGATGAAGGGACCAACTAAGGCTGTTGGCTATACCTTCACAACACAGTAGTCGGACGTAACACTGTTATGATTGTGTTATGTCAGGCAGAAGCCAGAGGAGTCTAGCTGGCATGGCATCAAGTGGTGCATCCTTTACAAGCTTTGGTTGGCCAGGGGAAGCGGTGCTGTCACTCTACAGGCAGCCCAGTGGAGGTTCCCTCTTTGTTTCTCTTCATAGAATCACTGAATTGCAGGGGTTGGAAGGGTCCTGTTGAGATCACCACGCCTGCTAAAGCAGGTTCCTTCCAGAAGTTTGCACGGGTAGGTGTCCAGGCAGGTCTTGAATATCTCCAGAGAAGGAGAGTCCACGACCTATCATGGCAAGCCTGTTCCAGTGCTCCATCGCAGTCTCTCCCATGCCAGTGAAGTGCTTCCTTCTATTAGTACAGAACTTCCTGTGTTCCAGTTTCTGGAACAAGGCTCATTGCCCCTTATTCTACTGGCACTCATCACCAGAAAGAGTATACCCTCATTAACTTGGCTCCTGCACTTGAGGTATTTGAGTCACCGTGGAGAACGCTTCAAGGTTTGTTAGATGTTGCTGCAGTGCATTGAGAAGTATTAGCAGTGCTTGGCAAACCATCTGTTTGTGTTGAAATATTCTTAAACTAAAAACATGTTTCGGTATTCCTCGCAGCCTTGTTCTTAGGTAGGTAATAATGGAGTTGAATCCCCTTGCTCAATTTTGAGGATGTCTTGTCAAATCATGCATAGAATGATGTGACTAATTTGTAGGACAGAAGTCCCTGTGCATCAGCTGTTCTCAGTGGTTTTCCTGGGGGTAAGGACTTATTGTGTTGAAAGACACTGATCATTCTTTTCAGCATATCTACTTTAAAAAAAAAAAAAAAAAAAAAGGAACAAATGGCTTTTGTCTGTACTTCCACTATAACTGCATAAATCTCCCTGATGCTAATGGGAGATTTAGAAGCATAGATGAAAGACTGTCTCACTGTCAATGAGATATGGAGTAAAACTGAGCAGGACACTGCAGAAGCAGGAGGGTTGCATCCCCATAGGGGCACCCTGCAAGCATCTAGCTCAACCTGCTTAGAATTAACTTTCAGCAGGCAAAACTAATACTCTCCAGAAAGAAGTGCTTAACCAGTGGCCAATTCAGTGGATTGTAAACTTGCTGAACACTGAGCTATGCTGCTGCCCAGATAGAGAAAAGGGAGTTGAGGCTCTGCATCAGCTCTGCCGTAAGCACGAAGTTTGTGACAGAAGGCATCCAAAAGAATAGTCCAAAAGTACTGAGGATATGAAACTGAGGAGGAATTGATGAGGCTATGCGCTGAGCTAAAGCTTAAACCAGGAGGTTCACCTCAAGGAGTTGCAAGAGGGAGGAGGAAGAGTGTAAAAGGCTCAGGAGGCCAACTTGGAGAATTACTGTAGAGATTAAGAAAGAAAAAAGGAAAAATAGCAAAAAGCATGTTTTCAGAAGTAAGTAGAAATACATGATGAAGCAGAAAACTAGTGAGGAGAAACTGAGCTGTAATGGCTGATCACAAATGGTAACATTATCATTGTGAGCAGAAGGGGAAGGAAGTTCTGAGGGGTGAACCCTAGGAAAAAAGCGTTAACTAGAGTGATCTGATACCGAACACAATCATTTATTTCAGTGTAAGCCACAGTACTGAGGAAGTCAGCAAAACATAGCTTTGTTCCTCTAAAATACTGTGTGAATTCTATCCAAGTTCCATTGATGAAACGTTTGAAAACATAGAAGTTGAAAGCACCAGACATGCCGGCACCAGTAATTGCCTAGATACTATTCAAACATTAGGAGGTTTAATTTTTATATTTTTTTTTTCACTATTTAAAATAGTATGGGTTGTCTTATTTAGTGGTGTAATACACGGATTGAAAATTCAAAGCTGAGAAATAAATGAATAGCTTATACTCAAAGGCTTCTCTGAAAGCGAAAATATGTAAGGTAGAACATTCCCCAGGATCCCACCTCTAGGTGCAGTTCTTGCACCTCTTTTGCTATCCTAGCTCTACATACTCAACGTGGCTTTTAAACACACGTCAGAAAGGTTGCTACTGTTTTACTTCTCATTTTCATGAGGTTGTGTGATACTACCTTTATTGGCCCATAGTCTCTCGATGACCTGCTAGTGTTATGTTTCTTGACAAACAGCATACTTGGGACTTGTGCTTCTGATAAAGGACTGTGATACAATCTGATGTACTCTGAAGTCCACAAAGGAGAGGAAAAAAAAAAAAAAGAAAAAAAGGAGTTACCATTTCATGCTGGAATATTCATAGTAAATAGAAAAATAGAAATCTCGTGATTCTTACTGCCCAAAGGAAGTCCATGAGCAGAAATCCTGAGCACAGTCCACGAAAGATGAGTTCAGAAGGACTGAAGAAGTGACGTGTTGAAATGTGTATAATTCTACTTGTATAGAAGCTAGCTAGGCTACAGTAGAAAAGACTGGGTGTGACTAGAAAGTATCCCTGCTGCTCAGATAGGAAAGCAATTGATTGGAACTTCACTGTAAGCAGCTTAGTTTCTCACTGGGTCCACTGAACAAGATAGAAGGTAAATTTCTGAGGGTAATGCAGGTGTGAGCCGTTAAATCAAAATGAGTGCTGCTGACTTCAAAGCTGAGGCACCAGCACTGATGAATTCCTTAATAAGTTGATTTATTATCAACTAAAATTATTTTTGTATAGTTGTAATCCTTTCAAAAAGGAGCATGTAGCCTTGCCATTTTTGCCTATGTATTTCTTAGTCACTAGTAAAGCAGGACTGAAAAACCTGCGAAAACCATGGAGACATTATTTTGTCAATGCCATGTTGTGACATTTGTGATCTTTTTTTCTTTGCTTACTTAACTGTTGTTTTTTTTTATTATTATTTTGTTATTTCATTTATGTTCAGTGTGTGTGTTCGTTGTAATGGTAGTATAGTTGGTCTCGTAAGTTATGTAATGTTAACTTGCGAACGCTCCCCTAAGGCACTTAGGAGACCTACAGAGATGCTAGCTACCTAGTCATCATGCTTCCCTTGTCAGCTGCAGAAGGTACTAAGTCTATGCAAGTGCTTGGCATAAGTGAGTTTCATCAGAATGGCTATGCAGTTTAGCTTTGTTGTCAAAATGCCTACCTGTTGGCTTTCTTTGCTGTTTAAATGCTGTTCTATTTGTTCCTAACTTCCCCTATTTAACAGCAGACAAACCCAGGGAGCACTGAATGACTCGGATGATCCCGAAACAGGCTGTCTAACTGATAACAAGCCAACTTCTCGACACTTCTATCCTGTCGCCTTGCTGCTTGTCAGCTCACACTTGCTGGTTGTGTGGCTTATTTTAAGTCTTGCTTTGCTATTAGCCAAATATCAATAAACTGCACTCATGTTCCTTTCTTTTCTACAAACAACGACAAACTACTTTAGAAAAAATAAATCATGCTGTAATATTTCTACAATTTCAGACCTTAAGGAACCATCTTCAAGATACAAATGTCTGAAATGTACAGTGTTTTCATTAATTTTTCTGAACTCTAAGAAGCATACTATGCATTGAGTGAATTGATTTGCTCTTTCTGTTCATGGTAAAGCTTTCCCACTGTAATTAGCTCAAAGAAAGCCCACTTACAATGCTGTCACTGTGTATACTAAAGATGTGGAATCCTGAATGCTTGAACCCCTTTTTCCAGAGTAACTCGTCTGACAAAATTAAAAATGGATTTGCACAATACAGACTGACCCCCAGACAAATTTTACAGGGCGGTGGTTTGTAAGACTTGCTTTCATTGTATTACTGCTTTATTTTCATTGTTATTATTAGCTGATCGGATCTTATTTGTTCAAGAAATGATTCTTTCTTTGCTTCAACTAACCTTTTTCTGTCGAGTAACTAAGTGGAATATAGTAAGTTCTGTTTTGTAGTTAGATTAACATGATTGTTATTGTTGCTTTAGTTGCATTTGCTTTGAAGACTCTTTTATATTCTTTTCTAACAAGTCTGGTTTATGTCTTGATGCACCACTTTGGCACTTGTGACTTTTGTACTGTATGTGAACAAACATCCTTCCTTTATAAAGCAGAGAGTTGGATTGGGCTGTTTGAAAAGCCATTCTCTCTTTTTTTCATTGCAAAGCTTAACATAGGGGAAATGATGCAGAGATGAAACTTTCCATCAGAAATCTGTAGGGCCAGACTTAATAAAATGCCTTATTCCTAGAATATGCATTTTTGTGGCAACTTGTAATCTCACATATATACTAATCGATCTGAAAAAAAAAAAAAAAAAGTATAATATTTAAAAGGGAAATATATTTCTGGAATTAGAATGAAATGTATCATTATTTAATTTTTTATTTTGTATTTTTTTTAACTAAACTTTAAACCTCAAGGGCAAATATATTAGGGGGAAAAAATCTTATCACCTGTTTCTGAGGGCAATAACTGTACTGGGCCTGGCCTTAGATTTAATTTTGTAAGATGTATCATCACTTGTGGAAAACAAAAAATGTAGAGTTGAATCTTTGTTATTTTTACTTCAACTGCTGCTGAAACTCTGCAATGAACAAATAAAGCATATTTATTTATTTTGTGTTTCATGAAGTTGTACTTTTTCCCCCCTTTCACTAGAGAAGGATGCCGCATAGAGAATGTACTGAAGAATGTCAAATGCAGAAAGTATGCATTCAACATGATACAGCTGATGGCTTTCCCAAAGTACTACAGACCTCCAGAAGGGACATATGGAAAAACTGACACCTAAGTTAAACAAAAATGTAATCAGGAACATATACCATGCTAATTAGTGAATATAAAAATTGCTGTTTATGACTTAATAATTTGGAATGTGTAACCAGTTGAGGTGTTATTTTGTGAGGTTTAACATTTTAAAAGTGACAACAGTTAGTCATCATGAAATAAAATATTGGTGATTTGGATATGCTCAAAACCAAATACATTCAACTTATCTTGGTGAACTTGAAGCTTAGCATGACTCATCAACCACTTGGAATTAGGTCTTGGGAAGGCTTGATAGAAGATTAAAAAGGGAAATGTCATTTGCAATAGGAACTGATGTTATCAGTCTGGAGGGGAGCATTCAGACTCTGAACAGCAGCCTGGAGATTTGAATTAAAGGATCCCTTCCTTCCTGAAATGGTGTTTTCTGGTACGGGCAAAGCACTGAGGTCATGATCAGTAATAATTAAATCCTGCGTGGAATTTTTGATGAAAGGTGCAACTCTTAATACTTAGGCTAAATAGAGTTTTGGTCAATATGTTTGTCTTTTTTATATAATCATGGTAACTTCACAATATATTTTTAGTAATTACCGCCTGTAATTTCAGTAATTGCGTTCTGGTTTGCTGCAGTTCCTTTGGATGTATCTTTCTTGGCTTTCTGTATCTAAGCCAAATACCACTTACTTCACTTAATCTTGCACATGAATCACACTGAAATCAGGGGGATTAATTCTTCAAGTAAAGTAACATATCTAATCTGTCATGTTCCTGTTCACAGCAAACCCTTAAAACTAAATTTTCCTTAGCGATAGGTAAAATGGCTTGTATATGCAGGCATTAATGTATTGTTAGGCTATGAAAATGTGCCAGCTGGTTTATATGAAATTTGTAATGCTTATTTCTAGGATATTTCCAGCAGTTCTAGGACAAAGAGCAGCGATGAGCTTTTTTGAAGTGAATGGTAGTGCTTCTACCAGCTTGTGTTAGTCTTGAAATGTGTCCTGCAAAGAACATTTGTGTTTTCTGATTTTCTCTATTCATTGCATCCTTCTGCCCTCCCCCAGAGAGAAACGCAGTTAACAAAAAACAAGTGCCCACTGTTTGCTAACCTTTGTGAGATGCATTTATTAGAGTTCTCCCCAAATTAAACTGCATAGGGAATTTGAGTATCTATAGGAAATTGTAGTTGCTATGGATAAAGAGTTAAATGTTTGCTTGCTTCTACAGAAGTCCAAGAATGATGCATAGTGAATTACAATTTGTTTTCTTTTCATCTATTAAGACCTGTTACTGGGTATAATTCTGTAACTGTACTAGTAAAAATTTCATGCTTAAGCAGCTGATTGCGCGAGCTCTATTTGGTAGGTTACGTAGAAATTATCTGTTGTGAATAGAATTAAACCCCTCTTGTACATTAGCAAGGTGAGGCTTTGGAACATGTAGAAGTATGTCAGGAAGGGATCTTCTTTCCAATGCACTGACTTCAGTGAAGCCAAGAATTTACCTACACAACATTTTCCTAATTGGAACATTTTTTTCAGAGTGAAGTAGTTTGTTCAGAAAGGACTTTTGTGCAGTTTTTATTCATATAAAGTCTCCATTGACTTCTTTGCTCTTCTAGAATGTATTGCATCAACAGTAGATGCCAGAAGAGCTAGCAGTGCATCGTAGACAGGTGATAATACAGTGCTATGCCTTTTCCTGTCATGTACCAGTGGGCGCTGTTCAGTGTATGTGCAGATAAAGTTGTGTGCATTTAAATATTACACAGCTGGTCTGCACAAAATTTTATTTGCAGGTTTGTGGAGCATAAATCTTCCTAGGAAAGTACTGTTCTGTTCTGTTGGTCTGACTGCTACTCTACACCTCACTTCGTTTCTGCTTGTTTATTGCTAACTTACAGAAACAATAGCTGTGCAGCTGAGAAATAGTGGTAATTTCTTTAGGTGATAGGAATTAATCCTAGTGATACACAGTAGAAATGCTGGCCTTCCTAAGGTGATTCTGAAACTGCCTGTAAAATTGTAGGCAATGACAGTATTCACTTTTGGGTACTTTTGTTTCTTAGTTCTTTATCTCAGCCCTGTGGGAGTTCTGTCTAATTCAAAATATGAAAAACTATAGGTTTCGTTTTTATTAAGAAAATAGTCTTTCAAGGTCTTACCTCAGCATTTAATCTTGCTGGGGTTCCAAATTATTTTGACTATAATGTTACCTTTTTACTTGAAATGTTTTCATCATTGAAGCTGCGCTTTTGGGGGAAAAAAAAGCCCGACAACCTAACACATTGCAGTTCTTTTTATTGTAACAGGTACACCCAACAAACTTGATTGGGCTTGGGCTATTACAGAAGAGCAGGTTGGGTTTTGTTTTGAATAAGGCTGAGCTTTTTCACACCAGTGTTTTCATTGGAACTTAGTCTTTTTGTAGGTCATTAAGACTATTTTAAAACCCGACACAATTCCAAGTGTCCTGGAAGAGCTTTATTGCTTCTGTGCTGAAGTAGGCTCAACTATTTCTTGGTTTTGTCATTGCCTGCCACGGGTCTGCAGCATTTTATTCAGTCAGAGCCAGTCTCATCAAAACAGGGTTGTCAATTAATCACGGATTCACAACTTGTGTTTTTCTGGTTTGTCTTTTTTAAAGAAACAAAGATCTTTTTGCTCCAGGCTGACAGTTTAATTGCAGTATATTCGCTCTGTACAGAAGACATTTTAAGTCTTTTGAATGCCCAGCAGAGGAGTTGAATCATCTCCTGAGGTCCATCTTGCGTGGATCTTTGTATATTACTGAATTACACAGGAGTAGAGTTCAGCAAATAAATTTTCATTAGGAAGCTACACCGTTTGCACAGAGTTCAGGGAAACATGCTCATTTAGCAGCATATATATGAGAAGTGTTCCATGTCTGCTTGACTTAAAGTTAAAACAGTTTTTTTCTCTTGGATGATTATAATACTGTTAGAATTAATACAGAACATGTACAGACTTGACATTATTATGCAGGCAGATCTTTTTGCTTCTGAAGTCTTCTTTTGGGGAGTTTTTAATATGTTTTTGTTACAGTTTATACTTTGGCTATTATGGAGCAATTAGGAAACAAATTTTTAATTGTTACCTGATTTTGCTGATATGTACTTGTGCATTTTAGTGGAATACTGGAAAATATATGTGTTAAGAGGAACAAAATATACAAGAGGACAGCTGAATGAGGCTAACTATTACCTGGGAAAGAGCCTTAATGATGCTAAAAACTAACAAACGTTAGTTTTTGTACTGTTCAAATTTTGACATTTTTCTCAAAGTAAAATAGGGAAATTAATACTTTGTGTGAAAGAATCAATCTGGATTAAAATTCACTGATTGTAAGTGAACTAATGTGCTATGGTATTTTAAATAATAGCTAAGAATTTAAGTACAAAGTGGAATTATATTAATTTGAAGCTCACTGCATATTATGCCTACTTTGACTTCCGTAAAGTAAGCTTATTCCTATTTTTATCACAAGTTCCAAGAAATGCTATGGCCGGTTTATGAAGAGCAGCAATGCGTTTGACAGCAACAGGTATAATATGTAAATTGCATTAGAAAGTGTGCAGCAAAATTACTTGTGTGAATTAATGTTCGTAAGCAATTAACAGACTTAAAACATATATTGTGTGAGTTGGCTGTGTTATAAACTCGAAACAATGATATCTTCATATTTATGCTTTGTTACTGTGAAAAGGAAACGTTTTGTACAGGCAATGCTGTGAGACATAGATTTGCTTCTTACCTTTCACTCATTTGCAGGTGAAAAGGATACATTTGCATTCAAAATGCTTTAACAAAATTTACAGCTTTTTAAAACACAGCCTTAGCATGTAAACTGGATGTTAAAAAGCAAAAACTCACAGAGCTGCGTTTAAAAACAAGGAAACCAAAACCAGACTTCAGTCTTTAAAACGTTGAGGTTTTTCCTTAGGTATGCAACCCACGAACTGTTGTGTTGCTAGAGCGTTCAGTTTAGGCTCTGCAGCACTCAAGTGCTTCTTTCTCTTAGCCTCATCTGAATAAGTAACGTGCCACAGCAATAAATTTCAGCATAATTTTCACGGTTCAAGATGAAAAATTACGATTTTCTCAAAAAAATGAAAAAGTAGCAATTTAATAATTCAGATTTAAAAACAAAAAAAAACAAAATAAAAAAAAGAAGAAATTTGTGAACCAATGTATCCATATTCCAAACAGCAGAAGTAGAAAGCATGGGGTTCGTTTGCTAATAGGGAACGAGTTTTACGATAGAAATCTGAGTGTAATAGTTGAGTGCTCAGAACCTGGGGTTTGGAGTGGTAAGATTTGGGGTAGTGCTGCTTTAACTTGGTTTTCTAACTGCAGATTTCTGTATTCTTTCCATCTGTTGTGCAGAGGGATTTAAAAGTTTTTGACAATTCTGTTTTGTTTATGAAGGGTCCTAAATTTTCTAAAATCCCAAGTTAGTTTGATACTTGTCTTCTTTTGGTGTAGCAGTTCCTTGTAATGTTCATGTCTCACGCTCTCATGCACATGGGGCTCAGTATAACAAATTAACAGGACTTCGATCCAGACTGTGTGTGTGTGCGTGTGTTCAGAGAAATAAAGCACAACTAAGCAATTCAAATCTTTTTATATGTCAGGATTTAGCATTTTTGTTTCACTGCTGTCTGTAAGCCATGCTCATTGTACACTGTGTGTATATTTTTATTTAAATAAATGTGATATTTATTTTTTATGTTTCTGACTTTTTTGTTACTCATTTTTCATTTTCATGACAGTGTTGTTGCCCAGATGCTGAGTGTGGGTTCCCTCCTAAAATAATTGGAGTAGTCTTGTCGCTGTTAGGCGCGCACACTTAAAGAAAGCTCCAGTACAGCACCAAAAAGCCTGAAATGGCCATAAATTGATTATTACCATTATTCCTAGTGTTACTGCAATTTTCATCTCAGAACCCGGTGGATTAAAACCAAACAGAACATTCACACGCTCCCAAAGTAACCCGTTTCACGTAACTACTCACCTGTAGACTATTACTCAACGTAGCTCAGGTGGAATCAACATTTTTCATAATGAAGACCATTACAAAGGTGATTTGGCTGCTCTTTTGGGATGGTGAAGACTATTCCAGACTTTTGGAAAGCTGGATCCTTTGTTGGGATCCAAACTTACTGTGTGATCTGACTGCTCCATAATAGGTAAGTACTCACTGAAATGCACTAGAGGTTTTCTTTTGGTAATATAGTAAAGCATTGTCTCACCTTCTTTATCCTATGGTTAGAAGCTTGTAACATCATTTACTTTCTGCATTTATGCCTGTGTATTTAGTTGTTTTATAGTGATAAATTCCTTGAGATGCTAATTACCTGCAAGATTCTTGGTAACCTTTAGAAAGCACCAGGAACTAATGGTTATTGTAGTAGTAAGTTATAAAACAGCTGTTGGCATTCAGCCTTAAAAAAAATAAAATCTGTCTCCTACTAAAAAAAGTGACTGTATTTTTAAAAGTACTTCATATTATTATTCATGCTTTCAGATTTTATCTTCTGTGCCAACTAAAACACTGTTTTTTCATGACGATATAACAGAAAAAAAAACCACAGAACTCTAATGGGAGTGGAATACTATGATAGTAAAAATGCATTATCATCATTTCTGTTTCCAAGGTTTTTTGGGGCCATATTTGAGATCTCTGAATCATAGTCTGCCATGGTCTGCACTGGGGCAGCCAGTGTTGGCACTGATAATTTCTAATGCAATTGCTTCTACTAGTCGAATCACAGAGAGCTCTGCTGTCCACCTGTGGTAAGTATTCTGTGGATCTCAGCCTTTAGTCATTCATTTAACATTCTGTGAATGTGATTAAGGGCACCAAGGTTCTAGACTGTGGTTTTCTGGCTTTACCCAGGTAAGTTTACGTTTTGAGTTTTTGTGTAGGCGAAGAACTGTCCTAAGCCTGTAGTTTTATAAGATACATGCTCGCCATGCTGCGAGAAGTGGAGAAGACAAATTGTTTCTAAATGAACTGGGATAAGAGGTTGAATTTTAAAAGCAGCAATATATATTTTTAATAAGCCTGTATGTATTTATACATGTATTTATATATACACTTCTTTTTTTTATAGTGAAAATGTAGAATGGGAAAAGGCAGTAAAATACGGTCAGTTAACAACTGAACTTGTTAATATTTCTAGCAGCCAAATATGCTTTTGCTTTTGGAGGTCTTGCACAGATATGCACATCTTTAGCGGGGCTTTTAAGTATGCCTAATGCATGTGTTGACTCCAATAGTAGAAGCTACTTTTCATGAAGGATGAAAAGGGAGGGGAAGGTGCCCCTAGTGGCTCTCCCTATGGTGTGTTTCTCAAACTAAATCTACTGTTCCAAACGGGAGCAGTTTGGAAGAGCTCAGGCCTCAACTCTCTGTTCCTCCAAAATGCTGCTGGCATTGCCGGGCATGCTGCTATCAGAAATGTGCTGATGGGCTGTGATGAGGCTCTGTGCAAGTGTGTCTTTGGGGCCTCTAATGAAAAACAAAAGGTGCACCCAAGGGTGATGCAGAAAGGAAAGAAAGGAGTGAATTTT